CGGGGCAGTTAGGTGCTAAGAAATATTACCCCATTTTTCTCACTAAGAATCAAAGTGGTTTATTATTAATTATGTATCATAATGCACATGTGACCTGATTGCCCTAGATGAATGAATGAAATTCTTCATAGTGTGTGTGCTGATGCTCACTGTGCATGCATGTATGCAAGATCACATCACTGTACACCAGGTTAAGTAAGAGCTATCACAGGGCGGAAGGTGGCATGGTATAGCCCGATCTCATCAGATCCTGGAAGCTAAGCGGGGTCACTACTTGGATGAGAGACCACTAAGGACGACTCTGCAGTGGAAGGCAATGGGAAACCACCTCTGCTTCTCACTTGCCTCGAAAGCCCTTTGCTGCAGTTGTTGCAACTTGACAACGCTTTACACTTTACTTGTGGCATGTATCTACTGCTTGCTGCCAGGGACTAGAATTCCTACATTGTCCATAAGTGTGTACTGAAAGTGGAGAAGAGAATCCACTCATCCGTCACTTAAGTGCCATGATCAGGGTGGTTATGACACAGTGGAGGGAATAGCTGTCTCTTGTTAAGTAATCTGGATGAGCATAGAGAAGAATCAAATGGGGGGCTTGCACTGTTTGAGTCTAGTTGTAGCCCTGTGAGATGCTGGATTAAGATTGGGAAACTATCCTGATCATTAAAGCAAGTGTGAAATGGCTAATGGGCTGGTCCACATAATTTTGTGTTCCAGGCTAGGAATTCCAAGAGCTGGAGAAGGGTGGAGGATTGACAGCTGTGTTGAAGAACCAGGAACAGCTGATGGCTGCAAACTTTGTGGTGGGAGGCAGATAACTGTTCAGTGGGCGCGCGCATGTGACTTCTGTTCTGGCAGGCCAAGGAGGGTTTGGAAGCTCCCCTCCAAAAAAACAAAAACAGAGACATCTCCCTGTGCTGGAATCTGATTTCCATTTTCTCTTTAACTCATTGATACCGTTATTGAGTGCATTAACATGATTTGTGTGGTTGGGGAAACATTCATTGACATTATCTCACACCAATTCAAGGTCACTGAGGCTCAGCAGGAGGGTGGGGGAGGCAGGCAGCCGGAATTGAGTCTCCTTTGTGCTTTGTCGTTAAATAGTAATGTGGATGATAGATATGTCATGGGATTCAGCTCTCCTTATAGCAGAATTTTAGTTACTTTGGCAGAGTGCCCCCCACCTTTTGTCACTGTTCTTTATATCTATTAGCCTTCATCCCTTTTTACACTTTTTTTTTTTAAATAAAGAAAAAAATTAAAATAAATCATATTAGCCCCATGGACCAGATTTGGAAAGAGTAGAAGTGCTTCATCCAGCGCTGAGGAAATGGGCTACTGTTCCTTTTGGGAGAGAGGATGTTCCCTTTAATATTTACACTTATATCTGGATCTGAGGTGGTCCAGTCCACCGCTAAGGAAAACAAGTAGGCAGCCAGGGCCTTATGTGTAGGCAAGATTAAGAAATATATCTTCTATCCTTTTCATTTTTATCCCACCGGCCCTTCAAGCAGCTCAGTACATGGTCCCCACCCCCATTCTCTCCTCACAACACCCTGTGAAGTGGGTTAGGCAAAGAGAAAGTAACTGGCCCAGGGTCACCCAGAGAGTTTTCATGGCAGGGTGAGGCTTTGACCCTGGGTCTTGTGTGTCTAGTCCAACACTCTAATTGATACATCATGCTGGCTTTTCAGGACTAGCTTATGTGGTATGGATGATCACAGATAGAACTGTCCTACACCTGCTGTCTTTCCGAACAACAACAACAACAAAGACACACTGAACATTTTTTTCATTTGGAAAGAAAGTCCCTCTTCAAGATTATAATGAGCTACTCAGAGGGTTAAAGCTCCGTTACTTGATTCCTGAAAATCCTTTTCAGCCCACTCTTCTGGTCCTTAGATTTCACCACAGACTGCCAACACTAACTTTGCAGGGATTTCTCTTCCTGATCCTGCTTTTAAGGATTAGGAACTTGTTTCTTAAACGATATCTGAAATTCCCACAGTGTTGCATTCTGCATCCGTTAATCAATTCCATGCTTGCATGCTGCAGTAAAAATAAAACAACATATGGCCTTGGGGATTAAAGTTTCTGCTAATGGAAGGGGCGTGGCAATTCCCACCAATTTCCCCTTTCTACTTCCAGCTCCCACCCCGATGTCATTCCTCAGGGTTCCCTGTCCCACAGGAGCGGCGTTTTGTGGGGATCAGCAGGACACAGTAGGATGACGGGGAGACAGGAAATTTCCATTCCACTGATGGAAAATTTAGTCTTGGTCCAGCTTCTGGTGAAAACTGGGTGGTGGGGGGGGGGGACAGATGCTGGGGGGAAGAGGGACGTTGGCCCTTTCATAACAGTAAAGAAGAGGGACTTTCAAAAAGCACAGCTTTTCTCCCCTCTCCCATTTGCCAAAATCCTCTCTTCTTCGTGGTCACTAAGAGAACAGGAGCCTTGTCTTCTTGGCATCTGATCACCCACAGGGCAGCCCTTTTGGGAGGAAGGCATAACAAAGGTGTGCCCCCCCATATTGTTTTGAATCACCTCAATAGTCCTTTTCATGTATAAAGTACTTCAAAATTCTTGTCTTACTTAACCCCCTGACAAAGAGAACAAGAGTAGGCTAAGAGATGGTGACTTACCCAAGGTGATCGAAGTATTTCCCTTGCACCATTTCCCAATGGAAATCCACCCCCCACCCCCCGCTGATATTATTTATTTATTATTTTATTTCATTTATCCCCCGCCCTCCCCACACGCGGGCTTAGGGCGGCTTACATAGGTTTACATATTAGTTTTGATATAGAAAAAAGACAGGCGTCCATACTGTTGTGCTTGTCTTTTCCCCCTACTGGGGCTAATAGCCTCTCAAAGGGTTGATCTTTGTACTGAGTTATCCCATAAGGGATAACATGCACGTGCGCACGCATGCACACACCCTGCTCTACCACCAGGGCCCTGATCCAAATCTAACTTTTTAATGCTAAACTATATGCCATGAGATCCAGTAATGGAACCCTAAAGAAAGATGTAGTTTGGCCCTTAGAATAAAGGCCAAAGGAAGGTCAAATTGAGGATCCTAGCGCTGTTTAATTACTGGAGAGTTCTTATATTACGTTTTGTTCTGTTTTTTAAATTGTAGCAGCCATTCTCTTGTCTTAAAGCAGGGAGTCAATAGCTATGTTGCCAGATTGAGGAACATTTAGGAAAATATTAGGAAAAGCTTAACATGTGGAGGGGTGGAAGTGCTGCACACCTGACTGAATGGACCCAGGTGGATTTCTAAACGCTCTTGGGGATTTTCCTCCTCTCATATAGCCCATCCCACTGAAGCCCTGTTTGAACTGTGTAGTCAGAGATGGCCCTTGTGACCATCCTTATTGGTAGTTAGGGATCTCATTGGGCCCCACCAGGAGTTGGAGTCCTCAGCTTCTTATTTGCTCCAACTCGGATTCCACATTGAATGTACTGGCTATACATCTTTGTGAGGCTTCCACTGGTCCTGTTTCTATGGCTGTTTTTCAGTTGATGTAGCCTGAGGATGTGGACAGAACCCTTGGAGGGGTAGATGCTGCCACTTGTGTTCTCAGCCTTTGCCTCTTGTGACTTGAACATTCTGCCGCGGAAGGGTTGCATCAGAGGCTGGAACAGATAAAGGCTGCTTCCTCATGTGGGTTTTGCTTCAGTGTGGAATCCAGACCAGAGCAGATTTTGGAAGCATCTGCAGAATATTTTCCTCTAACGGTGCTGTGATCTTTCCCAAACTTGGTTTGGTATAATCTTTATTGGGGAAAGCATGGTCAAAGTGTGTTTGTATGCCATGTCGATGGGAAGGTATGCATTTTTTGCAGGTCCCACCAACAGTGGCACAGTTTTCTTTGCCTCAGCGCCCCCCCCCACACAGCTGCCATTCTCCCCCACTAGTGGAGGCATCTCAGCAACACAAAGGGATAGAGAATTACTTTAAAAAACTTAAAGCTGAGAATTCAGATGAGCTGATTGTTAGAATGTTATAACACTACAGCATTATGTTATAACACTACAGCATTATGTCAAAGGGTGATTAAAAAAAAGTGGAGGCATCTCAGCAACACAAAGGGATAGAGAATTACTTTAAAAAACTTAAGCTGAGAATTCAGATGAGCTGGTACATAGATTGTTATAATGTTACAACACTACAGCATTATGTTAGAATGTTATAACACTACAGCATTATGTCAAAGGGCGATTAAAAAAAAGCCCCCCAAAGCCCTCTGGTGGTATGGGTAGGGAAACAGAGATCACAGGGCAACTGAGGCAAGGAAACTGCAGGGAAAACTGCCATGTAAATATTCTCTTGAATGAAAGCAATATGGAGAATTTTTGGTGAGAGGAAGCAGCTACTAAAAGTCTCCTTATGTAAAGGCCCTTTCTGGCAGTTTCAAGGAGGCTTTTGCTCAGCCTTGTCTGGGGGGGAAAACCCATATTTTGATCCTCAGGATTAAAATAATTTCCACTCAGGATTAAAATAATTTTCATTCTTCTTGGGCAAGGGGCACGAGAGAAAGTGGTGGCATTGCAACTCCAGGCTAGCCGCTAGTCCCCCTTCCCTTCTCCCCACAAGATACCTGTTTGCATGCCAGACTTTTATTTGGTGGTTTTATTGGGTTCGCTTTTCATAACTGCCTCGTTTCTTAAATATAACAAGGAATTCTTGTTGCTGCTGTTTTAAGATCTTAGTTGTAAGTTTCTGGTGGTATCTTCGTTTTTCACTTGTTCCTCTTTTGGTTGATCTAGTCTGTTGTTAATTGTATTGTTAATTTATTGTTGCTGTAATATGATTTAGTATGTAGATAGCCCACCGGAGCCTCCAGTCTTTAACCTGCCTTTGCTTCCATCATCCCACAATTGCCCAGTTGTGAGAAGATCAGCAAGAAGAGCTTCCTTCTAATGTTACCGAATGCACTCCCTCAACTCTTATTGAGTCCCGCACTAACACTCTGTTCTGTCTCTTTCAGGCTGTTGGTGGGTGCGCCACAGGCAGCTGCTTTGCCAGGTCAAAAGGCCAACAGGACTGGTGGGTTGTACGCTTGCCCCATGACCCATGAGATAAATGACTGCAAGCGTGTGGCCATTGACGAGGGAGGTAAGGGAACTATGAGATTGCATCTAGATGACTTATATATAAGAACTTATATATGGGACCCAGATGACTTATACCATGATTGGTCATGCGATGAGACTGCGTCTAGATGAAAAATTAACCTCTCTCACAGCATTGTCCAGTGTCTGATTTGGATTGGGGTTGGATAGGAATCCTGGGACCTGCGTATGGCTTGATTTGGGTTTAAGTTGACCATAACAGAAAGCTGGAAGCTGTTTTCAATCAGTGGCAGCGCTCCGCCCCCAGAATGCATAGCATATGAATAATTTTTTAAAAAATATGTTCCTGAGCATTTGTAACCTTACCCTGTTCTTTACTCTGGGATTAGAGGGCATGCTTTCATGGCAGTTTGATCCCCAGCTGCTCACATTGACAAAATTTAGCCCTAATCATATGGAAGCCAGTGTGGATTAATTCCTGTTTAAGTTGATTCAGTTCTGATCTGTGGCTGTTTCCACACATAGAAGCTAAAATTTGCCCTGACCATGGCGGCAGCAGCAGCAGCAAGCAGGGTGGAACAGGGATCCACACCTAGTCATCTCTACTGCACTTGCTTCTGCTGTCAAACCCTCTTCCCCACTCCTCCCTCTTTGCTGCAGTTGCACATGTGCAAAATCGCAGCATGATAGCAATTTTAGTGCCCTCGCTTGTGGCCCAGAACTCCCCCTTTCCTCTCCCGTCTCCTTTCCCTGCTGAGCTGTGATATCATGCTATACCCTGGCTCAAGTGGGAGAAGAAAAAAAACCCTTTAAAGGTCTGAAAAGCTGTGAGGATGAGGGAGGCAGAGCTTAGGTCTGCCACCTTCCTTGTAGCAACCGTGGACAAAGTGTCTGCCTTCAGCCATGGCATAGTTTTCGGTTTGTGCTGGATCAAAGGAGGTTTATTTTTGATCTGGCTCAAAGGGGAACGATATGGGAGCCAGATGACTTATACCATGATTGGTCATGATGTCATCTGGATGCTCCTAAATACTCCAGGGGGAGATCCTCATGTGCGTGTACCATTTGGGGGACTGTGCTCTGTATTCTGGCACAGAGGATGCATTACCTGGCCTAGCGCTCCCTCCACCCCCACCCCCCATAGATGGGGTGGTGACTGTGCTCTGTATTCTGGCACAAAGGATGCATTACCTGGCCTAGCGCTCCCTTCTGGCTAAGGATTGCATTGCTACATGTCCGTTTCCAGTGCAATCCATCCTTTAAAGGTAAAGGTTCCCTTGCTCGAAAGCTAGTCGAATCTGACTCTAGGGGGTGGTGCTCATCTTCGTTTCCAAGCCGAAGAGCTAGCGCTGTCCGAAGCCATTTCCGTGGTCATGTGGCTGGCATAACTAGATGCCAAGGTGCATGGAATGTGTTATCTTCCCACTGAAGTGGTACCTATTTGGCATAACTAGATGCCAAGGTGCATGGAATGTGTTACCTTCCCACTGAAGTGGTACCTATTTATCTACTTGCAATTTCTTGCTTTCGAACCGCTAGGTTGGCAGGAGCTGGGGGCAGAGAGGGGAGCTCACTCTGTCATGCAGCACTAGGTCTTTAGGGCCACTGTAAATGAAAACATCACTGTATCTCTTGTGTTGTTGGTATGTCTCCCCCCCATTCAAAGCAAATGCTGTGGGTGGGGGATTGGCTAAGTGAAGCAACTTTAGGCAAGTGAGTGTTTAACCCTCTTCTCCACAGTTTTCCTGCTCTACCCCCTCCCCTTTGTTCCACTGGGGGAAATTCTGGTAACTACCATATATGATAACCTATTCATCCTTCCTAGGCCCACTGGATTTGTTCCCCCTCCCCTTTGTTCCACTGGGGAAAATTCTGGTAACTACCATATATGATACCTAGTCATCCTTCCTAGGCCCACTGGATTTGTTGAGATTAGGAATGGGCATGAACCAGGAAAATTGAGGTTCGTCCCGGTTCGTGGGGTCTCACGAACCACAAGCCTTCACAAACCTTTCTGCTTATCAAACTGGTTCGTTTTGTGAGGTTCTTGATGCCCACCTCCTCCTGGAGGATCCTAGGGCCCAAAGTGGAAAGGGGGGGAGAGTTGCAGGAGGGGTGGTGATGCAGGGGAGGGGGTGGAGAGTTGAAAAAGGAAGATTCTGACACCGTTTCTCTGTCTCCTGTATCCCCTCCAGTTGACCTGAAGAAGGAAAGCAAGGAGAACCAGTGGTTGGGAGTCAGCGTCAAGAGCCAAGGTCCCGGCGGCAAGATCGTGGTCAGTGGCCAAGGCTGGATGGGTGGGTGGTCACTCTGTTAACCCGTTTGGGGCTGAAAAGTGAGACCCTGTGTGGTATAGTGATTAGAGGGCTGGATGAAGACTGGGGAAATCTGGGTTCAAAAATAGCCTAGCCATGAAGCCACTTAGCCATGAAAAATAACCCCCTAGCCATGAAGCTCACTTGGATGATCGTGGGTCTAGAAGCCTAACCCCCCCAGCACAAGGCTGTTATGAGGATGAAAGGGGGGAGGTAGATAATCGTTTACATGACCCCGAGCATCTTGGAGTGGCAACCTATCCTGTCCTCTATATGTAGGATGAGAAGCCCACCTTCCTCAGCATAAGAAAACACGTTTAATGAATTCATGTAGAAAGGGATTGTGTGTGATTGAGAGACATCTGGAAGGGGAACAGATTTCAGAGAGGCTGTGGCAAAAAAGAGAGGGAGGGTCACCGTGGATGATTTAGCTGCGGTTGTGTGTGCATGAAGAAAAAAGAGAGAGGTGGTGAACCTCAAACAGGTGCTAAAGAAGAATATATCTGTTGTTATCTCTGTGGCAAAAAGATGCTTTTCTTTGCGTTAACAAGAGGTTTTGTAAACCTAAATATGTTAGAAGCCTCTTTTAACCACAGAAAATTGCAATTTTTGCTTCTGGTGAATATTTTTCTATTGAAATTCATTGGGTGACAGATTTTTTTCTCAGTTCCTGTTTCAGGCTCACCTCCTATTACTTGGTGATGCCCTCTTCTGTTTTAACTTTTGCTTTGTTCATGTGAACAGAAGAAAATCTGGAACTCCTATGGGGGCTCTTCTAAAGGGTTGGCCTCAGTTCTATACTGTGCCCACACCCTGCTTGTACATTTTATCTTCTCAGTTCTCATGAGAACAATCGTGTTCAGTACAATTATATGAGGATATCCCAGAGATCTGCTCTGTTTTCTAGAAGAAAAGGTATCCTCTCTCTTGTCAGCGAATGGAAGCACCGCAGGAAGAGAACAGAGTGGGGACTACTTGAGAAATGATTATAGGGATAAACTGTTCCAGAACAGGAGTGTGTGCTCCTCTATAAAGAAGAGAGCGTACTTTTTCACTTTCTTATCACTCCTGCACTCGTTTCATTTCTCATGGAGACAGACCAGCAGCCAAAATATGTTGTTTGCTAAACACTCACGAGAACGTGGCTCACGCCTGAGTCAATTCACACAATGAGAAAAAGCACACAATGCATTTGGCAGCTAGCATGTCTGAGGATGAGATAGTAGTTTTCCACTTGCAAGGAGCCTCCTTCTTAAGGCATGGTATTGAAGGATTCTGATTCATGGATTGAGGCTGGAACCTGGCCTGGTGAGCTACCCAGGGCTGCGTGTTCAGATCCCAAAGCCTGCATCAGGCAACTTCCCTACAACATGTAGGCATTATGGGACTTCCAGAAATGACGAAGCCTGTATATAGCCTAAGGACCTGGTGTTCTGGCCTTGCTCCATCACCAGAGCCTGCCTACTCACCAGGCTCCCAACCTGGCCTCCAGGCCCAGCTTCAGCTTCTACTGGTTGTAAAAACAGGGCTGGAGAACCTGCACCCCAAATCTGGTTGCTAGCCTGGCCATTGCAAAACCTGGCCTGGGCTCGCCATCGGGAACCTTCCCTTGCAATCTGAAGTGGTACATTCAAGAAGGGGATACGTCTGCTTTCCCTGTATGTTTGAATTGGCTCTCTGAGTCAGTTTGGGGGATATTCTGGTGGCTGCGGTGGCTCAAGTGGTTAAGACGCTGAACTGCAGGCTGTGGAAGGTCAGTAGTTCAGCAGTTCGAGACCCGGGTGCCGCAAGACGGAGTGAGCTCCCGTCTCTAGTTCCAGCTCCTGCCAACCTAGCAGTTCGAAAGCAAGAAACTGCAAGTAGATAAATAGGGACCACTTTGGTGGGAAGGTAACAGCGTTCCATGCACCTTGGTGTTTAGTCATGCCGGCCATATGACCACGGAAACGTCCTCGGACAGCGCTGGCTCTTCGGCTTTGAAACGGAGATGAGCACCGCAACCCTAGAGTCGGATTCTACTGGCTTTCGAGCAAGGGAACCTTTACCTTTTCCTTTTACTGAACAGGTTGGAGGAATGAGGAGGAAACCAAAGCAAGTTACGCTCCCACTTTATAAACTTGTTTGGATTATCTGACACTGTTGGCCCATCTCTCTCTCTCTCTCTTTCCCCATGGGTGAGGGGCAGGTTCTGCAGCTGGAACACAGACGTCTCCCTTAGGAGAAAGAGAGAATAGAATACAGGTTTAACTATGACTTTTCTGAGCAAGCTTTGGATGTTCAGAGGAAGCGTAACTGTTCTTTTAAAATGTTCTTTTAAAATGTCCAGAGCCATCCTCTATTTCTTAGCCATGTCACATTTTAAGCACAATTTCGGGAAACCCTGTGCTACCCACAGACATTTGACCCACCTGTGATGTTACCTGAGTGCTGATTAACCTGGGAGGGAAAGTGCATTCGGATGGGTACCTTCTGCTCTGATACCACAAAGGAGCAGCTAAGCCACAACAGGCTAGTGTTCACTGTGATCTCTGCCTTTTACAGGAAGATATTTTGTGCAGAAATGTCGGTCGACGGGGCACTTTCTATCCCACTCCCTACTTTGTTCTGTCCCCCTTTCCCTGTATCCCAGACCTGCGCCCACCTGTATGAAGCTCGTAACCGGGTGAATGAATCTCTGGAGACGAGGGACGTCATAGGCCGATGCTACGTGCTCAGTGAGGGACTGAAGGTGTCTGATGAGCTGGATGGCGGAGAGTGGAAATTCTGCGAAGGGCGGCCACAGGGGCATGATCGCTTCGGTTTCTGTCAGCAGGGGGTGGCAACTGGTTTCACTGCTGACAGGCACTATATCCTCTTTGGGGCACCTGGCACCTACAACTGGAAAGGTAAGACGGCAAGCATGTGCCTGAGACCAAAGATATTCCCTGACCTGGATGGCCTAGCCTAGCTTGACCTTGTCACATCTCAGAAGCTAAGCAGAGTCAGCCCTGGTTAGGACTTGGATTGGGGAGATCGCCAATCAAGTCCAGGGTTGCTACGCAGAGAGAGGCAATGGTGAACCACGTCTGTTCCTCTCTTGCCTTGAAAACCCTACAGGGTCACCATAAGTTGGCTACGACTTGACAGCCCTTTCCACCCAGGAAATCAAATAGTACAGCCCTGCTGTCAGGCTGGTTTACAAAGCTCAGCCGTACAGAATCTTCATTTGGGAGCTCCAGCGGCCTGGGGTTGGACAGCAGGAGTCCCCCAGAGGTGGAGTATGGCCCTAGGTTCTTGCCGTCAGGTCTACATTATCGCCTTCTGATCATTCTGTTGGGTAGCCACGTTGGTCTGAAGCAGCAGAGCAAAGTTTGAGTCCGGTGGCACCTTTAAGACCAACAAAGTTTTATTCAAGGTATAAGTTTTTGTGTGCCTGCACGCTTCTTCATGAACATTTGGGACACCCAATAAGCAGACTTAGGCCAAGCCAGACCTCTCATTCTACTGCCGAGAGGTGTGTCCATCCAGACTCGGGTTGCCAACCTCCAGGTGGGACCTGGCTATCACCTGGAACTACAACTCATCTCTAGAATAACAGGGATCATTTCCACTGGCTGCTTTGGAAGGTGGACTGTATGGCATTATACCCCACTGGAGTCCCTCCCCCCCACCAAACTCTGCCCTCCCTAGGCTCCACCCCCAAATCTCTAGGAATTGCCTAACCGGGAGATGGCAACCGTAATCCAGACCCTCCTTCCAGGCCAGGTGCATAAAACTAGTGGCTACTTAAAGTCTTACTTGACATAGTTGGACAAACATGTTCACAACATGTTCAAAGACATGTTCACCCCCAAATCATTGCCTTCCTATACCATGTTGTGAGGACATGCATGATTCCTCAAACTTCCCTGTTCCACCAATCACTAATGGGTGTTTGGTTTGGCAGGAACCTTGCGGGCAGAACTGAGTGGCTTGGATCTGAGTCACTACGACGACGGGCCGTATGAAGCCGGGGGAGAAAAGGACCAGGACCCCTCGCTCATCCCCTTGCCTGCCAACAGCTACCTTGGTATGGGGTTGCGCCCGGCAGGCCAAGCACCACAGAGCAGCCAAGCAGGCCACCACCACAGGGTGGGGTGTTGGCAAGTGAAATCTTGAGCTTGAGGGGATATTTGGCTGGAAGAAGTGAATATCCATAAATGATCACCAAAGCCCTGGTTGAAAAAGCAACCCCTAGTTGTAGAATTCTTAATAAGCAGTGAGCGCTTCCTTCTCTAGGCCTCAGGCCTGAACAAAAGAAATAGGTTTGATTGGCAATTGTTCTGACAGAAAATCTGTGTTAGTAGGAGCCCAACTGGGTGTGGGGTAGATCTAGATTGACCTTGACCCTGCTGGTCTCTGACTCCTGCCAAATGTTCTGTGGTGCTTCCCCTGCCTGGGCGCCAAGGTTTCTCACACTGCTAACCCTTTGTTTCTCTCTCTCTCTCTTTCCTTCCATTGGCCTTGCAGGGATATTGTTTGTGACAAACATTGATAGTTCTGACCCTGACCAGCTGGTCTATAAAACGCCAGAGCCCAGCGAGAGGGTTCCCGGGAATGCTGGAGATGTGGCCCAGAATAGCTACTTAGGTTTGTAAGGTGTCGGTGTGCCCGTCTCAGTGGTTTCTGCCTCTCACCCGCTTCCCCTCAGAAATCTCTCTCCTTCCTCAGTATTTCAAGCTAGCGGCTATTGCTTTCCCCCCTTTGTTATGTTTTGCTGTTCCTCACGCCCTCAAATAAATAAAATCAAAGCTCGTGAGACTTGTTACTCCCAGCCAGCAGGGGGCACTGTTCACAGCTCCTACAGTCACTTGCAAAGTAAGGTAGGATTGTTTGGGTTGGAGTAGATAGGAAGAGAAGTTTAGAGATTCTCCTCTAGCAATTGGCAATCTCAGACCGAAGATTTGGGAGGCGCAGTTCTGAAAATAGCTGTAAATTACTGGTTGACCATCTGATGCAGTTTTTCTCAGGAAGCGTTAGTGTCAAAAACTCTGGCCTCAAGAATATTGTGGATATTAAATTGGGCGTTGTTTGTCCTTGTAAACAATTAGAGGACCAAAGATGGAGGAATGAAACAAGCTTATATTTTTTCCCCTTTTAGATCTGTAAGGTGCCGGTATGCCTGCCTCAGTGATTTCTGCCTCTCACCCCTTCCCCTTGGAAGTGTTCAGTATTTTTAAGCAAGACGCCATTGTCTTTTCCCCTCTGTTGTGTGAAGCTAAGAGAGGATGCCTTTGACCATCTAGAGAGTTCCTATCAGAGGGAAGATTTGAACTAGGGACTTCCTGCTTCATAGTAAAGAGTGCAATCCTGTGCAAAGTTACACTGGTATACGCTTGCTGACTTCTGCCTAGGATTGCACGGTTAAGCCTGATAGCAGCCCTGCTATCCCTAGGTACAAATGGGAATGGGAGTGCAGCAGAAGGCCGATGGGGCTGGCATAACTAGCTGTGAAGGGTAGTTTTTGGTTTGGGCACAGAAGCGGGATCCTCTTAATACGAGCACTTTCCTAGGTCCATTTCACATAGCCAACTGCCCAATACAGATCTATGCTCAACGAGCACGTCTAACCCTTTCTAAAATTATTTACGCTAGTGGGCATCACAACATCATCCTTTGGCAATGAATTCCATAGGTTAATTGCACTCTGCATCATGTTGTCCTCCTCCTGATGAATGCCACTAAATTCTAACGTTTTGAGGAAGAGTGGATAAGTTCTCCTCTACAGCCCTTGCAAGGCTCTCCTTATCATTCCCTGTTAACATCCAGGCACAATTTGTGTCTGCATCTTGAGTGAGACCTTTCCTATTCCAATGCCCAAGGGTGGGCGGGACGACATAAGGGAGACTCTCCAGGCTCTGGTGGTGGCTGGGGTACTGGAAACCTCAGTCCCTTGCTGAGCTGGAGAGGGGATGGAGGATGAGCTCCCCCAGGCTAAATGAAATGAAAACTGAGCAACAGAATTTGATTAAAACCTGCTAATCAGTGGTTTGTATCGGATGTAGTTCTGTTATTGAAGAAATTCAGGTGTGGGCATGACCAGTACCAGGATCACTCTCTACCATGGCACCTAGTGATAAGAACATAAGAGAAGCCAATGTTGGATCAGGCCAGTGGCCCATCCAGTCCAACACGTTGTCACACAGTGGCCAAAACTACCAGGTGCCATCAGGAGGTCCACCAGTGGGGCCAGGACACTAGAAGCCCTCCCACTGTTGCTGCCCCCCCAGCACCAAGAAGACAGAGCATCACTTGCCCCAGCCTGAGAGTTCCTATCTATACCTTGTGGCTAATAGCCACCGATGGGCCTCTGCTCCATATGCTTATCTAATTCCCTCTTGAAGCCATCCATGGTTGTAGCCGCCGCCACCTCCTGTGGCAGTGAATTCCATGTGTTAATCACTCTTTGGATGAAGAAGTATTTCCGTTTATCTGTTATAACCCGACTGCTCATCAATTTCATTGATAGATGGCCTGAACTCCTTAAGGCAGTACTACATACATCTTGGAGGCACCTTTTACTCTGGCCACAGGGACAGCATGTCACAGCGGCCTGTGAATCCCTGTTTGGAAAGAGGTTTCCCAGATCTGACCAACAGATGTGGTCTTAGAGGTTCCATGTTCACAGTTTGATTCCCAGGTGTATGGAGGCTGAATTGGAGGGGGACCATGCTGCGTGGACAGCAGGGGCTTAAGCCTCCCTCCCATATTGTTTTTCTGGCCTGAAACAGTCTGGGGGAGCCACTGTTTGTGTAACGTACTGTCAGGGCTGGCCTGGCTGTGCCACCCCCTGCTGGCTGGCCTGGGTGCAGGGAGGGCACATTCCAATCCATCCAGTGGGCTGAGCAGGCACGCTCTGAGCCACCTGCCAACATGGAGCCGTGGCTCTGGTGGATGTGCTTTGAGCCACCAGCTGGCCTAGATAAGTGCATCTGGAACGGCAACTCAGGCGTGCGTATCCTGAGCCACCCACCAGCCTTTGCCTGTCCTGAGCAACGGCCCGGGTACGTGCTGAGGCTGCCACCCTGTTAGCTGGCCTGGGTGGGTGTGCCCTGTGCCGCCAGTCAGCCAGCCACACTGGAGCTGAGCACCCCAGTGTATTGTGTAGTTAAGTGAGCAGGAGGGTGCATTTTGCTTTGGCTTTGCCAGTTGCTTACCCTTACTGTAAATGGTAGTTGATGGAGATCCCTTGCATGCAACAAACCAGACTGGTGCATTGACACGCTGAAAGTGGGAATGAAAAACTTAGTAGCTGAGGTTGGAGCTGAAGCTACTGTTTACAGTTTTCAGAGATAAATTGACTAGGAAATGTCACATTCTTCAGGAGCACAGACAGGAAAGGCAAAAGGAGAGAGGGGAAATGTGAAGGACCTCTTTGTTGTGAGAGGAGGAGGAGGAGGAGGAGGAGGAGGAGGAGGAGGAGGAGGGCTGGAGACAGTAGAATGCAGAGTTCTGAAGAACTGGTAAGGCTTTTCCACATTCTCATTTTTCTAGCTTGTGTGTTCCTGTTCTTTTGGGGGAAGGGGGTTATTCTGCATGTGTTTTGCTCCCTCTAGTGGTCAATTCAATATTACAGTGCTTCGTTTCCGGCATAAGAACCTGTGGTTTAAATCTGCAGGGGGATTTGCCCGACAAAAGTGATATAATATCTAATTGACCACTAGAAGGAGCAAAATACATGCAGAATAGGGGGGAAAGACCAAAGCAACAGAAACACACAAGAGAGGAAAATAAGAATGGGGAAAGCCCTCTAGTTAGGGGACCCTGGAACAGCCTTTTTGCTTGTCCCTCATTGCATGATATCTGTGCTGCCTGCATGGTTCCTGTGATGCCTGTGCCTGCTTGCATGTTTGCTGCTCAACAGTGGGAAAGCATGCTCTTCTGTGATCAGCTTACCCGTGCTGATCCTACTTTACCCTATGCAGGACCTGCTTCCTTGCTTGGTGCACTTTGTCATATGCCTTCCACCCTCTTACACATCAAATGACCTGTACGGAACCGCAATGGGGCAAAGCACCTAATAAAGAGTGGGCTGTGTGCCATTCTCCTTCTCAGTCTTAGCAGGAAATTGGATAGCAGCCCCTTCTACTGGCCCAGGGTAGAATCTTCTTTGTCTCTGAGACAGGGGTCATTTCCTGCAGGAGCACACAGGAGCGGAGCTCCAGCAATAAAGAGCCCAGGGGGCGGGCACATGCAACAAGCCCCACCCCCTGCTCCCAGCAATCCTCAGTCAGAGCAAGAAGCAGCCAGGTAAGTTGCAGAGCTCCCCTCGGCCCAAAACAGTCCAATGGCACCTTTGAGACCAAGTTTTATTCAGGTACAAGCTCTCCCTCCTCTGCAAGGACAAATCTGCCCATCCCCACCACAAAAAAAGCTAGCAATCCAAAACAGTCCAGTGGAGCCCGAGCGGTGGGTGTTGCCTTCTGACACACTTCCGGTGATGTCAGGGGGCGTGGCATATGCACATGAGTTATGCTAATGTGTTATGCTAATGCGCTCCTGCACCTCTTTTTCTACGAAATGACCCCTGCTCTGAGAAATACAAAACCTGTTAGGACAAGGGAGGCAACCCTCTGCATGCGTGCCAGACAACAGCGAGACGGACCATTTTGCTTGGCACGTAGGGCGGGCGCTCTGCCAAAGCAACTGAGGTGAGTGCCCCCAACTTACTGGCAGCACTGCTGTGACTGGCAGCCTGGGCGAAGGCCCCTGGGCATGGTTGATGCCCGTCATCACCTGCTAGACCTGCACAGCTGCCAGTCGTTGGGGTCCAAGGAGACTCCCTGAAGTGGCTGGGACTTGGCTTGCTCCTCATTTGTCTGGACAAGCAAATCCTTTTTGTTCACCAGGACACCAAAGGCTGACCTTTTTGGCACCAAGGCCCAAAATGCTGCCTTCTTCTATGCTAGGAGAGGGGTGAGAAAAGAACAAGAGAGGGGTTGGCAAGGACCAACTTTGCCCATTGAAGGGTCTCCCACAAAGGATCCTGCGTCTTTCCAGCCCCGTCTTGCTCCAGCTGCCTTCCTGCCCTCCCTCCCATTGCTTTTGCATGCTAGCAACTGAGTCCCATTGCTTCCCACCCGACGCCCTTCCCCTCTGCACAGGCGACCACATCTTCCTCCCCAGAGCTGGAACATTGCCATAAGCTGTGCCAAGGGACCGAGGCCTAGTCCTGGGGTTGCGTGTGGCTTCCCACTACCCTCCCCACTTCTGCCTCAATTTTTTCCCCCTTGGCTCTTTGAGGAATGTTTTAAGACCTTACTCACCTTGGCACAGAGTTCTCGCCCTACTGATCACCACCTAGATTTCGCTGCCGTTTCACAGCAGGGAGCTCTGTGCCTGGCATGTCCCTGTTTCTTTTTTCTGTATGCTCTTTGGGCTGAGAGAATGGAATCCAGGCGACCCGAAGGACTGAGGAAGAGAGAGGCCTCAACCACTTTCTGAGGAGTCCCACTCCCAACCAAAAGTCACAAGGCCTGGCGCTGGGTGGAAGACTCGCTGGCCAAGTCAAGAACAAATACTGAAAGCTCACTGGGGGTTCTCCAGATTTCAGAGCATCCACCCACAACCCAGCCCATCCACCTCCTGCTGGGTCCGTAGAGTGGTGGCATAGCTGACCCTGAAGGAGTGTTCACATTTCTGGCCCATGGCCCTCCCTCAGCCCTGCACTCTCTCCCATTATTTTTTTTTGTCTCCCAAGGCAATGGGAAGGATAGTCCTGAGGGCAACAGGCAGAACATGACAGAATTTTGACTGCAGTGAGATCACTTTCAGAAAGGAAGCCTTGACTGTGAGGAGATTTTGACTTGTGCTTTCTTTTCTTAAGTTACGAATGTGAGTAGGGCACTGGCAGTCCCACGTCAATCCAAAGGCAGGTAGGAGTTGTGGTCTGGCTCTGCCTCGTAGCTAGGCCCTGATCTCCCTATATTCCTGTTTAGGCATGCTCAAACCTGGTGACCAAGCCCATCAAGGAACATGAACACCTGTTTTTCCAACCCCACACAGCAGAGGGAGCCAAGGACATAGTGGTTTATGGTACTCACCTGGTCTGACCTATGATGCGAGACAACAGTGTGGGTGGAGAGACAGACAAATCAAGCTGTCTAGATCTTGGGAAATTTAACGATTTGTTCATATTGTTAAGTGGCTTTCCACCTATGAACCACAGTAACAAAAGGTAGGCATTACAGCTCTCATTTTACAAAACCAACAAGCAAGACAGGTTTCTCAGATTTGTAGCATTTAGAAATGTGATTTATTTTGTGCATGTCCAGAACTTGGACCGATCTTGAAATCTCATGCTTTTCAAGCTGATCTTGTGAGTTTTGAATGTCTGGTGGTAATACTAACCCTCCCTTCAATGCCATGGCTCTCTCAAGTAACTAAGATGCTTCCCCCCCTTATTTCCAGGCTTTTCTCTTGACTCGGGTGTGGGGATCATGAAGAAGAACGAGTTGAGTTTTGTAACGGGGGCACCACGGGCCAACCACACTGGGGCAGTGGTCATCCTGCAACGGGACAATGTCAACCGGCTGGTACCAGAGTTCATCCTTTGGGGGGAAAAGCTCACCTCTTCCTTTGGCTATTCCCTGGCTGTGCTGGACCTCAATGGTGATGGGTGAGTAATCTACCTGTGAGGGAGAGAGAGAGACCCAGATGCTGGAATACTACTTGGGTGCATAGGCCATCACCATTTTCCTTTGCCAATCTTGGCCTGACTCATTGTGTTTTGAGCATCATTTTTTAAATTTTAACTGCTCTGACCAGCAGTCGTCATAGCACTGGGTGGGCAAAAGTAGATGAGAGATTGTTGCAAAAGTAAGTTTGAAAACTTGTTGGGTACATACCTGGTGAAATAATCTTACGTGCCCAAAATGGCAATGCTCATCCCTATGCTGTGAGAAGTTTTACCTGTTGATTTCTGTGCATCATCCTACTGATAAAGGCACCAAAAATTGTCATTTTTCCCCCCTAGCCAGACACTCTACTGAAGGAGAAATTTGGGAGAAGATGAAAATAGCTTTCCCATCTCAAATTAGGATTTCCATTATTCCACAGATGGGCAACTGTCTAGAATTAACAGATAAAGTATTTGAGTGGAAGATATGAGCTGGATACAAACAACTACAGTTTGGTCCAAGAACAAGCCTTGGCAGTCCACAAGTTTGCATATTCCCTGCTCACCTTGTGCGACCTGCTGTGCTCTCCAGATCAGGTGAAATGACAAATCATGGTTTGTTTCTAGCTTAGAGGCCAAGATACCAAACCATGGTGAGCGTGAGGAATTCCAAGTCTTGTTTTCAGACCAAACTCTCTGAATGCATTCTTAGACAATAATCAAGTCCAGCAGCATGTTAGAGACCATCAAGACATTCAGGGTATGGGCTTTTGAGAATCAAAGCTCTGTGTCATGCCTGCCCCTGATGGTGACCCTGATGAGGCACCTGACAGCCAGGAGCACGTGGAGTTGGCACCACAAGCTCCTGAGGAACATTCAGAAGCCGAGACTTACAGTCAGGAACTGGCTCCTGTAGCAGAAAGCTCTCTAAGTATCGAGGAGGATAGAGCCTCCCAGGAAACACCTGCACAGGATCAGGCTCTGTGTAATCCCAGCAATTTGCCACCTGACTCCCCGCCAGCTGTGACCAGGCTCCGGAGTCAACGTAGACAGGAGCTGCAAGAAAGACGCCGGGCTGCACGCATGCGTGCAAGACGTTCGCTCAGCCCTGAGTATTGACAGAAGCTTAACCTTGCTCCCTGCCAGCTAACGAGTTCATTAGCCAGCACAGTATATCACCAAGCCTGCTGCTGGGAGGAATTTGTGCTGGCAACTTCGTTGACCTTCGGCTTCGTTGACCCTGCTTTCGTCTCTGCACTTCTCTGGCTTCGTTGTGATTTATGGACCTTGACTTCTGGTATGTCTGACACTGGCTTTGGAAACAGATTTGGACTTGTTTGAACTGTGCTGCTTGATTTGCTCGGCTAGACCTCGGACTGCTTCTGGACTTTGCTTGTTTGCCTCACGCCCCCTGGCCCTGCCATGACACTCTGATTAAGGGAGCTTTGACTCACAAAAGCTTACCCCCCAGGAACCTTGTTGGTCTCTAAGGTGTGACTGGACTCGAATTGAGCTGTTTTACTCTGGGCCAACACAGTTACCCTCTGAAACAATCTTCTTGGACAATAACGTCTTCCCTCATGCACTTCTAGACAGGTGGCCCCAGCCAAAGAGAATAAGGCCGGCTCTTGTCACAGTTGAATAACAGTACTGAGTACAGAAGAGTAGCTCAAAAGCATGCCTCCAAAACTGTAGGCACACATAGGTCTGGTAAAAAGGTTTCGCATTTTTTGCTTGTGTTTCTTGTTCCGCACCATTGATGTAGTAAGTGGTGCCCTGAAAGCAGTTGGTGTTTCTGTAATGGTCACACTCATAGTTTGTTCTCTCCAGCTGGATGGACTTGGTGGTCGGGGCACCAAACCTCTTTGATCGCAAGGAAGGGATTGGAGGTGCAGTCTATGTATACATCAACCAAGCAGGGGACTGGGAGAATGTCCGCCCCATCCGTCTCAACGGCTCGTATGACTCCATGTTCGGTATCACCGTGGGGGCTGTTGGTGACCTCAACCAGGATAGCTTCCAAGGTGAGAATAAAAACAGCAGTGCACATGCACATTCATGCACCTTCTCTGTCATGGCACCTACATTGTGGAATGGTCTGCTGGAGGCTAGCAGGAAGGCCCCCCCCAGCACGTCCATTGTTTTGCAAAATATGCAAAACAATATGATTCCCCACTCCTCCACTTGCACCTGCTGATGTGACCTTGGGTCAGTCCCAAGCTCTGGCACAGCTGTCCTTGAAAAAGAGCAGTTTGTGTCAGAGTTCTCTCAGCCCCACCCACCTCACAGGGTGTCTGTTGTGGGGAGGGGAAGGGAAAGGAGTTTGTAAGCCGCTCTGAGACACCTTTGGGTAGTGAAGGGCGGGGTATAAATCCAATCTCTTCTTCTCTTCTTTCCTACACGGATTGTCTTGTTGCCTTAAACAGAGAGGTTTACATGCATTCTGGGTTTTGTTTTCCCTTTTCTCAACCACATTATTTTGTCTTACTAGGAATATTTGCTGTTATATTCAACGGTTGTGGTATTTTGTAATCCTCTCAGCAATTGCCTGGTAGTACCATATTTTGTAATTTGATTGACTGAATTTTTTTATCGTAATTTACCTTGGGTCCCAGTGAGAAAGGTGGTCTATAAATGAAAATAATAAATAAATAAAACACTGGTGTGTGGGGATTCTTGAATAAGTGTGCATGAGATGCCTCATGAGTGTGTACTATAGATAGGGAGTTTATAGGGGTCAGACTAAATGTTCATACTTAGAATGTCCATACTTCCAAGTGCACATTCAGGATTTGGGAGTTTAACTCTTGGGGAAGCAAACAAGGAAAGCTCTGGCAACTATAAGAAAACAAGTACTTAAGAAGGGCCATGGATCATTTCTAGAGCATCTTGTTTGCACGCAGAAGGTCCCAGGTTCAATCCCTGGCATCTCACGTCAAAAGGATCAGGGAGTAGGTGATTTGAAAGACCTCTGCCTGAGACCCTTGACAACTCCTACCAGCCAGAGAAGGCAGCATTCACCCTGATAGGCCAAGGGTCTCATTCAGTGTAAGGCAGCTTCACACGTTCAAGAATATGTGAATGAGAGAGGGGAAAAGAACGAGGAAGTGCAGTGATCTCAAGCATGTGTTTATGTCATGTTTGCGGGAACAGAATATGATGCAAGTGTAAGAAAATGTGCACGTATTGTATCCTGCGGCGTGCAAGCAGATATCTGGTGGTACAAGTGTGCGTGAGAGGCTGAATTAGGTTGGATATCTATGGAGCTGTGTAAGCCTGAGGACGCCATGTTTGTCTGTGTTCAGTTCTGTAATGTGTACATTGGGGTCCCAAACGTGGTACCCATGGGCACCGTGGTGCTCACTAACACCTTTTCTGGTGCCCGTAAAGTGTTTTTAGGAAGTGGGCAGGGCCAGGTGTGGCTTTTGCCTAGCAAGGCTTCTGATTGGCCACTGGAGATTTGATTGGCTGTGCAGATTTTTAAAAACATTGCTTTGGCAGCAGCTGCTACCATAGCACAAGGATCTACACTGTGTGACAGATGGGTAAGCTGGGGCAAGCATTTTGTAGCTGGCTCCATTCCCTGCAGCAGCCATTTTGAAGCTATGCCAACCATGCAGTGTCAGAATTCCAAAGGTGCCCGCAGGCTCAAAAATGTTGGGGACCCCTGGTGTACATGCTAACTATTGGCCTTTTGATGTTTGAATATATCTGTGTAACGATGCTGCATTGGGGTGGAACCAACCATTCTCCAAGCAGTCTTCCTCCAGCCTAAGGAAACTTTCTCCAGCTGGGAGCCAGCTTAGTGTAGTGGTTAAGAGCAGTGGACTCTAATCTGGACAACCGAGTTTGATTCCCCACTCCTCCACATGAAGCCAGCTGGGTGACCTTGGGTCAGTCACAGTTCTTTCAAAGCTGTTCACTCACAAGCAGTTCTCTCAGAGCTCTCTTGGCCCCACCTACCTTAAAGGGTGTCTGTTGTGGGGAGAGGAAGGGAAGGAGATTGTAACCCGCTCTGAGACTCCAGGTGAAGGGCGGGGTATAAATCCAACTCTTCTTCTTCTTCTTAAGTGGGTCTTCCATCAGAGAAAGTTAAAAGGACCCTCCAGTGGAAGAGCACTTAAGTTGGAGGAGTCTCCTGAGATTGGGGAAAGGCTTCAAACTTTAGCCAAAACGAAAAGTGGGGTATAAATATTTGAATGAATTAATGAATGAACTTTGCTCAGGGGAGAGGAAGGCTAGGGGTAAGATTTATCCCATTCTGTTTGTGCAGCTAATAGCCAAGAATATGGAAGGTAGACAGAGGTGCTCGGAGTGCATTTTTTCCTAACCTGCTGCTGCTGCTTTCCTTCCAGACTTTGCAGTGGGAGCCCCGCTGGATGGTGATGGCAAGGTCTACATCTATCATGGCAGTAATTCGGGTTTTGCGATCAAACCTGCTCAGGTGAGGACCCCTCACTGACTCTTCACTTTGCAGTAGGGCAGGGATGATTCTGGGAATATCACCGCCTTCCTCTGCTCTCTTGGTAATTACATGAGCCTTCCTGTTTGGTCCCTGCCCTAGTCATGTGCTGTTGGTGCATCATTATTTCCCTTTTCTGCAACCCCGCCCACTGCAGATATTGACTGGGGAGAGTGTAGGCATCAAGATGTTTGGATATTCCTTTTCCGGAGGGCTGGATATCGATGGCAACCTTTACCCAGACCTCCTGGTGGGATCACTCTCTGACACAGTAGTGCTGTACAGGTGAGCATGACGGCAAGCAGGAGGGGTGAATCTGCATTGACTAGATTGCATTAGGAAGCCAGTGCGAGAGCACATGTGGCGTTGTGATTACAGTGCTGGACTAGGATTTGGGAGAGCTAGGCTCAAATCCCCACTCTGCCATGGAAGTCTGCTGGTGCCTTTGGACCACTCACACTCTCCACCTAACCTACCTCACAGGGTTGTTGTGAGGATAAAATGAAGGAGAGGAGAATGCTGTAAGCTGCTTTGGGTCCCCAATGCAGAGAGAGAAGAAGTCAATGAAAATACAATAAAGAAAGGCTGTGCGAGTGACAACTGGGCCTATTGGTGTCCCAGGTCTGTCATGTATCCCCAATTTCCATCCTGTCTTTACCCCATTCTGTCTCACCCTGGAGTATTCCATTTAGTGGAAGATTTACAGACATGGTGTCCCTTTCCTGTGGATTCATTAGGGAATTCCCTGAAGACTGCTTTGGACCATTGAGGACTTTACATAGAATCTAATTAGGGACAGCAATAGGGCAAGGGTGCTGGTGGGTCCAAATCTGGAATCCCTGTCCATATTTTACAGTCTACCAACCAAATGTAAAGGTGATTGCTTGTGAGTGCAGAAGGCAGCTGGCTTTTGGGCTCTATTTAGGGTTGCCAGGTCTTACCTTGCTGCTGGCGAGGGGATCTTCACTCCTCTCTGGGAGCTTCTACCGTGCATGTGATGATGTCACCCGGAAGTGACATCATCATACAGCTGATGTCGCATGACAACGCTCTGGGTTTTGGGCAAAACTCTATGGTTTGAAGCCCAAATTTACCATAGAGTTTTGCACAAAACCTAGAGCGCCGCTGCGCAATGTCAGTGGCATGATGATGTCACTTCCGGGTGTTGTCATCATGCTGCATTTGGGGGCATTTGCGGCCAGGGAGGAGCCCGCAAAAGTGGGGAAGCCCCTGCCCAGACCAGGGGGCTGGCAACCCAAGCTCTATTAGTTCTGTGGTCACTGACTTTTCAGGCCTTTATTAAGTTTCCTGGCCCACTATTGTAGAATACTGTAAAATGGATCGAGAATAAGCATGGAGGAAACTGAGGTGTCCTGTAAGGGATCAGAGAAGAGCAGACAAAGAAATTTAAGTATTCCTCCATTGTATCTTAGAGCTTTTTCAACCCACCTGGGAAGGGGATCCTTGAGCCACCCTAGAAGCTATTAGCCCTCTCAAGAACGTTGCATTGCTAGGCCAGGCCCTTGCCTTTCCGTATATGATGGCCGGGCTGTCTCAGAGGCTATGACCCATACAGCCCAGAGTCTCTCTCACAAGTCTTGAATCCACATTTTAGGACCCGCCCTGTCGTCCACATCTCCAGAACCATCACCATCTCACCACAGAATGTCGACCTGGAGAATATGAACTGCCGCCATCAAGTAGGCATCTGGTAAGAAACTGTTTGTCTTTTCTCCTGATCATAAAAGAAGCTTTCAGAATGTGTCTGCAAATTTTTCTAGGCAGCAAGTTTGTTGATACCAATATATAATCAATTACACTAACGCCCTTGTGTGTTACACAGGTAAAATCGCCTATGGGGTCTAGATTCTTAAGTCCATTTAAAACCACAAGACCATAGCACATCATGAGGCTGAAGAGCTGTTTACCTGCCCAATTAACCTTACAGTCCCTCGATCTCCTTTGATATAAATAAGGATAGGAAAAGTCAACCAGAGATCTTTCTTCCTCAGTTGCTATCAGGGCATCATCATTTTGGCCCATTCGAGCATTAAAATCTCCCGCAAGCAATATTGAAGCACTAGGATATTGTTGCATGATCATATCAAGGAGTTCTCTCAGATTCTTCCAGAGAGATTCAATTTCTCTCTGAACAGATAAAGGGGGAAAGTAAATTGTAATGATTATCAAAGAATAAGTTGAAAATTGCAACCATGATGCCAATATATACTGATTAGCAGCTATCTGAGATACGCTAAGACAGTTAAGCGTTGAGGAAATTAAACAGGTTAACCCGGCCTTTGGGCGACCTTTATGTAGGCTAGGTTGAGCATTCACTTCAAAAACAACAAAACCAGGAGAATGTGTCTGCACATTAGTTTCCTTGTTGCATCTTGCCAGGAAATGAAATGGGTACACATTCTACAGCCACAAAAAGATAGAAGATCTTGTGGGTTGAAGGCAAAGAAGTGGGGAGGTTGGAGCCTTGAGGTCCATCCTCAGCACCCTATGAGAAAAGGTTAAAGCGCTTAGGGCTCTTTAGCTTGGAGAAACGACGACTGAGGGGTGACATGATTGAGGTTTATAAGATTATGCATGGGATAGAGCAGGTAGGGAAAGAGGTACTTTTCTCCCCTTCTCACAATACAAGAACTCATGGGCACTCAATGCAATTGCTGAGTGGTCGGGTTAGAACGGATAAAAGGAAGTCCTTCTTCACCCAAAGAGTGATTAACACATGGAATTCACTGCCACAGGAAGTGGTGGCGGCTACAAGCATGAACGGCTTCAAAAGGGAATTGGATAAGCATATGGAGCAGAGGTCCATCAGTGGCTATTAGCCACAAGGTATAGATAGGGACTCTGGGGCAAGTGATGCTCTGTCATCTTGGTGCTGGGGGGGGTCAACAGTGGGAGGGCTTCTAATGTCCTGGCCCCACTGGTGAACCTCCTGATGGCACCTGGTATTTCTGGCCACTGTGTGACACAGAGTGTTGGGCTGGATGGGCCTTTGGCCTGATCCAACATTGGCGTCTCTTATGTTCTTGTGTTCTTATATGTTCTCTTATCCTGGGTAACATAAGGCACATGTCCCCTTTTAAAATGTTTGTGGGTGTGTGAGGTGAAGGGCTGGAAGCTGGAATTCCTGGGTTATTGTTGTCTGTGTCCACACTTGTAGATGTATTGTGTACAGAGCTGATGGCATCTCCTGGTGGATGAATCTGGTGCTATGCCTGGCATGTGCCCTGTATTGGGATTAACATGGTCACTGCAGCAGTGATGCCTGAGTGGTTTTGCTCGCCTGATTGTTCCCATTTAAATTGGAGCTGTTTGTCCCACGATCATAGCTCCTGCTTGAGCTGAAGCAAGCATAGAGTAATCCTGTGGTACAGGAGCGGTCTTTGAGGCACATCTAATGAGTGGCAGGTGAACACTGGTGTGAAGCAGGGACCACCTCTTTTGCACGCTGATCTTCTTTAGCACAGAAGAAGTGAAACGTCAACCTCAGTACCTAGACTAGTCCTGTTTAATTCTGGATAAAAAAGGCTGCCTCTTGACCAAGCAAAGACCAACAGAAAACAACTGTGAGCTGAATTGCCTGCAAAAATATATACAAACGGAGACTTCAGCAAAGTGAAATGCACATGTAATCAAGAATGAATCTATACATATAATCCAACATAGGAAAATACAGAAACCCACAGGATCCACGAAAGGAAAATACAAAGTCCAGAGTAGATATCCAACACTTTTCCTAGGTAGTATTCAGTGTTTCAGACTTCTGGTCCTTCCTCAGGAACAAAGAACTATAGAAGTATAAAATACAATAATGCTTTTTTAACAATGTTACTTATTAACAATATTTCACAAAAGTGATCCCAACGATACAAAATAATCATATTAAATACATTATATTATTATCACTGTTGCACAGAGTCTCATAACATCTTACCAACTATAGGAAGTCTCATTCCATTTCCTTATAGGACAATACTATTCAGTTTCTCTGTAAAAGAGAATACCTCCTTAGAATTTAATTAAGAATATTTTAAGGAACAGCACAATATATGGACCACAAAACCAACACCATATACTCACTTATGGGCAAGGCCTCCTAAGCTTTAGTGAGCACCTCTCAAGGCTGCTTCTATGTAACAGGACCAAACATGCCTCAGAGTATTCAGCGTACTGAGTCTGCTTTATGAATCTACATTGAATGCAGCTGGTAGTATCTTGCTGAATTTTAAAGTTGTAGAAGCCCTTGTTGCATTTGAGCTTAAGTAATTAAAGTTGCCATCTCCAGGTGGGAAATTCCTGGAGATATCAAGCCTAATAAGCCTGTTATATGCATCTAAACTGGTTATAACTACATAAACCACTAAGTTGCTATAATATTGAAAGTAGCCAACTCCTGGTGATATTATAAATAAAGTAACCTACTGGGTTTATTGTATGGGTTTAAGTCAGCAGCAGCTACACATCCCTTCAGGCACCTCAATTTCAAATACTGAAGTTGCCAACTAGGAAATGAAATTACTGGAGACTGGTCTAAAATATATGAATCACAAGAAACATGATAAATCCAATTCAGAGTTCAATCCTTTTGGTTGAAGAGTGCTTATAGAATGTATATTATATGTCTCTCGCCACTCTCGCCATAGAAGTGTTGTCTGTATATCCATTCTGTCATTATCCTCTATAGTTTCCAGTACAGTAGATTTGAAATCATCATGTTTGTGATTTTTTTCAATAAAATGTTGGACTAAAAACGTATCCCCCTTCTTCAATTTAAATCTAGATTTATGTTCCGAAATTCTGGAGCATATTGGCCGGGTTGTGATACCTATGTAAATTAGGGAACACCTCCCTAATTTACATAGGTACTGCTTTGATGGTGCAGTACCTTCTCATGATTGTATAAGGGAAATTCTACCTTACTGGTTTGCCAAGTCAAATTACAGACAGAGCAATGTTCACATTTGTAGTGCCCCCTCCTGGGCTTTGGTGGAACCTCTATTTGATTTAGCCTCTGTTTCAAAGGGTCTGCCAGAATTAGTAAATCCCTAAAGTTCTTTGTTCTTCTGAAACCAATATTTGGCTTATCCTGGCAGCCTGGTATATTATGCAATACATGCCAGTGTTTCAGGATAATCCTTTTAATTTCCAAAGCTTTAGGCGTAAAATCAAATGCTGTAAAGATGTTCTGACGTAGATGTTTTTTCTTTTCCTGTAGAATTTTCTTTCTATTAATTTGTTGCGCCCTAGCCGCTGTGCTGCTGACGATTTTCTTGGGATAACCTCTATCCAAAAATTGTTGAAACATATTCCTACAATCCCTAATAAAAGTTGAATTTTCAGATGGATTCCGTTTAATTCGTAGAAATTGTGAGAAAGGAAGATTATATTTGAGAAAAGGAACATGGAATGATTCAAAATGTAGATAGCTATTTTTATCAGTCCCGTTATGAAAAGTTTTTACAGCTATTTTATTTTGTCCTGTTCTATAAATTGTAGTGTCTAAATAATTGATAGAACTAGTGTCAACGATAAAGGAAAATTCTATAGAGGGATGAACTGAATTTAACCAATCCATGAATTGGTGTAAGGAGGTGACACCAATTATAAAACAGTAAACAATCATCTATAAAGCGAAAATATATCACACAATGAGTATAAAAAGGATTGACATTAGCATCTAAGATGAATGTGTTTTCAAAATCCTGCATGAATATCTTCGCTACTGAAGGTGCTACGGCTGAACCCAAAGAGACTCCATTTTTCTGTAGATAGTAGGTATCATTCCAGCAAAAAAAAATTGTATTCGAACAGAATATCTAGAAGGTCCATTAAGAAGTGTGTTGGGAGCATCTCTTGCTGTCTCAGTTCTAGACGGTCCTTGATTAACATGCGTGCTTCTTCCAATGGGATATTGGTGTGCAATGATTTAACATCCATTGAAACCAATACAGTAGAATCCGTAATCTGTATGTCTTCTATTTTGTTTATAAGATCTCTCGTGTCCTTTAAATACACCCTCCCTGATGCAGAGCCAGGCAATGGCAAACCACCTCTGAAACATCTCCTGCCTTAAAAACAAGTCTAGCTCGCCCCCTAGTGGTGCAGAATGCTAAAAGAGCTAGAACTTCTGGCTGCCAGACAATGTTAGGATCTCCTGGCTATACTACACACACTGCCATACAATAATTATTACGCTTCACTGTCCATTCCATTCTTCTATTCGAGCCCAGCTTGTCTAATCTATTAGCATTTTAAAGAAGAAAAGACTGTCCTTTAAACACTACTTAAAATGCAACTAACAAAGCAGGTCCTCCCCCACCCAATTCCCCCATTAAAATGCTAATAGCAAAGCAGGGAATTTGGTTTTTGAACAGTGAAACTGTGGAAGTTGGATGGTTAAACCTCTTCTCTCTTTCATATGCAGTCCCAATGTCAATCAAGGTTGCATGAATCTGCAGTTTACCATGATATGGACAGATGGAGATGCCTGGTTTATTTATCATTTATTCTTCAAATTTGTACCCCACCCTCCCAGCCACGGCCGGCTCAGGGCGGCTTACATAAAATCACAAAAACATTTTAAATAATACAATAAACCATTTAAAACAGTATTAAAACCAGTTCGCAATTCCATCGTAAGTGCTAGTTTTGCTGTCATTGAGTACATGATGGCTACCATCAGCTCTCTCTTCC